GAAAACAAACGACTTGTTATTAAAGTCAGATGATGGTTTTGTATCCAATATTTATCAGTTCAGAGTTGGAGAAAAGAAACTTTAGATCAGTTTTTTTTTTCTTTGCAGTATGTTATGGTTAGTGCATTTTCTCTGAAAAGATTAGTGTGTACTCAAATAATAGCTTCACATCTTGATTTAACAGATGTGGAGACAATGGGGCAAGGTTGCCGGCCTCAGGGAATTTCTGGAAAACAGAGTGTCCTTTTTAAAAAAATTTTTTTTAATGTTTTATTTTGTTTTTGAGAGAGAGACAGAGCATGAGTGGGGGAGGGGCAGAGAGAGAGGGAGACGCAGAATCCGAAGCAGGCTCTAGGCTCCGAGCTGTCAGCACCGAGCCCAATGTGGGGCTCGAACCCATGAACTGGGAGATCATGACCTGAGCTGAAGTCAGCTGAGCCATCCAAGCTCTCAGTCCTTTTTGTTTGTTTGTTTTAATGTTTATTTATTTAAAGAGAGAGAGAGTGTATATGCATGCATGCACATGCACAGGGGAGGGGCAGAGAGAGAGAATCCCATGCAGGTTCTATGCTGTCACCACAGAGCCCGAGTTGGGGCTTGATCCCACAGACCACCGTGAGATCATGACCCGAGCCGAAATCCAGAGTCAGACGCTTAACCAACGGAGCCACTCAGGCACCTCTGTCCTAAGTTGATCTCATTTGCCTCACTGTTCCTTCACTTCTGTACTTTACTACCTATCATCCGTGTAACTTACGGTGAGTTATTCCATGTCGCTGAGTTACATTTTCTTGATCTGTTTACTATACAGAACTGCCTAGAGGGTGAACTAAGGCAATGTATGCAAATTCCCTGACACATAGTCGATGCCCAATGCATTGTAGTCATTTTGGGAATTGATGTGAACAGGAAGAGCAATGGTTAAATATGTCCAATGCCTTCCAGCCTTCTGACTGAGGGTGCAGGGAAGAAACGTCAGTACAGATGGAATAGTTTAAAAAGGAAGGTGCTAACGGGGAGCTAAGTTCTTCCATCTGGCAGACACATGAGAGGGGCAAGGCACACTTTGCGGTCTGGGAAGTTGTAGCCAGTTAAATGAGGCAGGAAGATGCAGGCCTGAGCTGAACCGGACAGTGGCTCTCACGAGATAGCAGAACGGCACACCATCTCTAGCGGACTGCAGAGAATGCCAAGGTCTCGCTACTCTGCCCTGTTGTTTTTTAATTTTGTTTTGTTTTTAAAACAATAGATGGATTTTTTTGTTCCTCTTTGAAATAACAATTACGGTAAAGATAAAATATTTGAAGCTTTTTCTTTTTTTTTCCTTTCTTTTTTCCTCTCTTCCTATTTCTCCTCAGCCAAACTCTCATTTGTCACAATCAGCCCGTTGAGAAACGCTCGCTTTGTCCACATCTCAGTGAAGGTGATGCGACACTGGGTATCTCCTGAGGTATAAAAAAAAGCTGAAAATTGGGAGCTAGGTTTCTGCACTCCTTAGACTTCTGAGAAGATTTCTTAGACTTTTCCATTTGCAAAAATGGAGAAAATATCTTTCCTGTCTTACAAAGGCATGGGGAATTACACCTGAGAGAGCACTATGAAAATCTTTAAGCATAAAAACAACAGAAAGTGGTCATTATTAAAGAGAAGTGAAAGGACATTATGAAATGGCATTCTGAGTCAGAGAGAAATCTTTAGGTTCTATGAGCCTTCTCTTCATCTGGGCATGCTCTCCCGTGCATTTTCTTTGCACAATTTATGTAATAGTATCTCTCTTCTTTACAGGGTAATTTGTGTCAGACGCAAAAATTTTAAAACGTTCAAGTCATTGCATCAGACAGTGAGAGTCATAAAAAATTGCTAAAGTTTTGCCCCTTGCCTTTAATGAGCTTGCAATGTAATCCTTGAGATAAGACGTGAATATAATGAATTATTCTTACACGAGTCAATGTAAACCATGTTAAGGCCATCAGAGAGACCAAGCCAATACACTATGAAGTTCAAAGGGGAAGGAGATAACAACTAGCTGACGTGAACCCACAAAGTGGATGCAGGTGTTTTGACAGGAAGAGTTGCTTAAATTCTTGGTGGTCTGAGGAAATAGCAAGTTAACCTGCTTCAGGGCATAAAGCATAAGAAAGCAAAGAAAGCAAAATAGGTGATCTAACACAATGTCATACTAATATGAATAATAATAATACACAAACAGTTATTATGCTCAATTTCAAAAAAGTAGAACAAGTATTCATCTTGTTTGGGATTTTAGAAATGAGAGGGAGCAGAGGAAATTAGAACTCAGGGCTCCTGACTGTAGCCCAGGCTCTCATTATTCCACAAAAGTAAAATGTTTCCATCAGTGAAGATAAGAATAAAGCATGATGAGCGGCTGAAGTTTGCTTTTTACAAAACAACAACAACAATAAAATTAACACTCTATAGAAAAGAGCAACCTTGTTTGACAATAATGTACACTCAGAATAGTGTACATCTGAATGGAAAGGACTATGATGATTACTTGTTAAAATTACACAGGACAAATGGCAGCATTTAAGAGCCCTGGGTTTACAAAGATAAAGGAGTACATATCTCTTCATTCAAGATGTAACACAGAAAGAAGAGAAAATCAATCAGTGATTTGATGATAAAATTGCTGTAGAATCTAATGTTCAGGGGGGAAAAAAGTTTTATAATTGGCCTGACAGCAATACATTTCATTTAGTAAAAATACGCTAGGAAATGCATGTACCTAGAGCAGATGAATGATTACGAGCCGAAAAACAAACACATGATGAAAACAGTACTATGTTACAGTGACGTATTGCATATCTGATGGCAGTTCAAAATTTTAGTAGCCTTAAACTACTCTTGATGGTATGCAACTGAGTTTCATTCCAATTCCACTACTTGTGTAAATCTTGTTTTAACTTGCACATGCTGGACAGAGTATGGTTGGGAATGTTGAGTCAAAATGAAGTAGCTGTTCCCTTCATATCTTTTTGGGAATGGTGGGCTGGGACATCTCCTCCGAAGGGCTGATTATTTGAGAAAGGGGCAACGTAGTACATGCACCAGTTGAGCAGGTGTGAGCCAATCTGCAGTGCCCATGCTGAAACAGAAACCCTTATTTCCCAAAATATCTTTTTGGAAGAGTGGATCATTTTACGTAGTTTTATTGTTCTTAGCATTTGTGAAACCATTATTCAATATCCAACATACTTTGTGTCAGGTCAAGTGCAGTTAACTATTTAAGGAGCCATGTAATCATTTCTTCCTCCCTTCCTCCCTTCCTCCCTTCCTTCCTTCCTTCCTTCCTTCCTTCCTTCCTTCCTTCCTTCCTCCCTTCCTTCCTTCCTCCCTTCCTTCCTTCCGTCTTTCTTTCTTTCTTTCTTTCTTTCTTTCTTTCTTTCTTTCTTTCTTTCTTTCTTTCTTTCTTTCTTTCTTTCTCNCCTTCCTTCCTTCCTCCCTTCCTTCCTTCCTTCTTTCTTTCTTTCTTTCTTTCTTTCTTTCTTTCTTTCTTTCTTTCTTTCTTTCTTTCTTTCTTTCTTTCTTTCTCCTTCCTTCCTTCCTCCCTCCCTCCCTTCTCCCTCCCTCCTTTCTCTCTCTCTCTTTCTTTCTTTCTTTGATTAAGTGAATTCTCGTCAAAGAGTTTCTCTTCAGACAATAACAAGATTGCATATCCAATTTTGGAAAGCTCTGAAAGCTCTGACACTAGTGGTTCTACATAGAGTGACTATATTTCCCTTGCACGATCTTTGTGCTTAGAACTGCCCGTGACCTAAACTATCACTTTTGCATTTTTGATCCTTCTTCCAGCCTGAAGGAGGGCACTCTCCAGATACTCACCATTAACCCCACAGTCTTCAGGCATTAGGGTTCCGTGAGGAGATACTGTGTTAAATATATAACCGAGTTATCAAATAAGAAAATCGATGACAGCACCAAAGTAACCTAAGCACAAAACAGTAATGTTAGCCTACTAAATGGCCACTGTACAACCCCCCAAATTTGTTCTACAGTGACCTTTTGAGAGCATGTGTTCTTGCCTCAATCTTTATCATTGCCAAAGTGGACCTGAACATTCTTTAGCAGAAATATTCAAAAGAGTGAATTTCTTCCCTACCCTTACCCCTTCAAACTGTTTCAACCTTTCTCCAATTAAAAAAAGAAGAACAAAGACCAAAAAAAAAAAAAAAAGAAAGAAAGAAAGAAAAATACTTTGAGCCTCATCACATTTTTGTCTGCTTACAAATAAAGGTATTTCATACATAATTAGCCAGAAGCTTACTGGATAAAATGCATGAAGAAGAAAATGCAAAATTGCAATTTAGTTCCCCCCCTTACCTTGTCCCCAAGCTCTTTAAAAAATGTCCAACTCTTGATAGCACCAACTTTTCCTCAGCTCTCTAGGATAAACCACTGAGAAAGGGCTTTCTCTAGAACAAAACGCCCCTAACGCACCCATCCCGGAACACATCCCCGCCCTTCAGAAGCCTGCTGCTCCCAGTGTTCGTTATACTCCTGTGGTGTTGTGCTTACGCAGTAGTAAAACAGGTCACGTGTGTTTTCGGTACCAATAGAGGAATAACCTAATGACTGTAGGGATTCCTTGAGGGAAGAGTATGTGGATTTGTTCCTCTCAGTGTTCCCAACCATGGGATGGCATTGTTTGAAAACAGACAAAACAAACAAGACCAACTTCCCGGGACTGAAATACTTTGTATGTGTTGTTGTTTGCAGTGCATGCCAAGACATTCATGAGCACCAGAGCCAAGCTGGCGAGCTAATTAAATATATATATGTATGTGTTTAAAACAGCCTAATAAGGAGCATTGGAAATCTTCAAGATGAGCGAATATCTTATAACTTCTTCCGCAGGTGCAAGGATGATAGCTACAAGCCATGGACTTTCTGTCCTGCTTCTTGTTTGTGGCTTTGTGAAGGGTGCTTTGCTTTAATCTAAAGTGCTGACTTTTTTCCAATATCACTTTCTCTTCTTAAAGCAAAGAGCAAATCGCCTGTAAAATCTACGGAGCGGACAGCAAAGTTGACCCTAAACTCCAAGCACCACTCTGCACCCACTGTTCTCTAATTACCTACCCAAGGAGCGCCTGCTTCTGGAAGCATAAACGAAGAGGCTATCACACGCTTTGTTCCTAACATTTTCTTGAGCGAATCACTGATCTTTTATTTCAAGAAAATTAGTGTGAAGTGATAGGACATTTTCTAATAGCAAGATCTATTTTTTTGGTTTTTTTTTTTTTCCCTTTTCTTTCGGCTGCTTAAAGCATCATCTTGCTGACTGCTCAGGGGTTGGCCCGAACGTCATGGATATAGTAAATATTTCCTATGGATACCACTGATTTCCTACTAAAAGACACGTTATCTGCCGGAAGCAAACAGAAATCAAAAAGCTACAGAACATAAGCTATCATCAAACAAAACCCCTGTTTGGGGGCAACCACAAAATCATCAACACTGCGTGTCAACAAGGGGAACACTATTTTAAATAAGACACGATAAAAGAAAGATTTTTTTTAATTTTCTTTTTTTCTTGGATTTTTTTCTCCTTTTTCTTGATTGTAGTTCTTGTTCAATGGTGGCAAGTGCTGATTATGGCCGATCCCTGTCAATCCTGGGAGGTTTATAGAAATACATTTTGAGTGTTCTATATTTCAATGTATTTTCATTCATTTTGCAATTCCTGTATATGCAAACTTGACAAATTATGTAAATTGCTTATAGTATGTGTGATATAACTTCAAAGTAGGTAGACTATGACCTTCATGCAAGCTGATTTTTATCATTATATATATAAATATATACATATAGAGATCTATATGTTGGGTCACCAACCAACTTTTTTTTAGATAACGCATTTGTTTTTCACTTAAAATTCATATATTGTGCGAATTTTGTAATGCATTGTTTCACTTCCACAGGTCTGACAGCTGCAGGTGGCTCTGTTGCCCTCTGCTTCCTTCTGGAAAATGCATATTCAAAATTGTATTGGTCTCTGATAAATGAATTAATTTTGTTGTGTGTATGCTGTGTTGAAATTTGCTATGTTCCTTTATATATGGTGTTTATTGAGGTTTGAGGGTCTCTTGACTCTGAAGAATGTACACTCTCTGGTTTTGACAGCTATTCCCACATGATTATCATCATTGTTTTCAAAAAGCAATGTTGCTTCTAGACAATTTGCCTTGGAGGTAAATGTGGAGAAGGTGAAGTGGTCACCATGATCCCCTAAATTCATGGAAGAACACTTCTTGCTTTGGCTAAAAATGCTGCTTCCTTTGACCTTTATGAATTTTTGTAGATTTGTCATTCTGTTATTTGCTGCTAATTATAGTTTAATGTCTCCTAATTAAAAATTAAAATCTGGTTGTTGGCTAAATATAATATGGAAACGATGACTTCAAATCTCCAACTAAAGAAGATAATGTGTTCAAGTTTTCACTGGTTAAGTGAATTACAATTTTAAATATTTCTTTCTCATTTCTGGCTTGATGATAATTCAGATTATTTCATTTGGAAACTGTTTTCTACTCCGACAAAGAATGATAGGCAGAACTACTACTGTGTTCCATACACACTATGGAATAGATACAGGTTGAGATAGAAATGACCTGAGTTTTCCTTCCAGAGAGATTCTTCCATTTCCTTTCATAACAAAACCAGAAGATCATCTCTGTAGGACCAGCAGCTCACAGGCTATGGTCCTAAACTGAAGCTTGAAGGCAATGAATACCTCTGCTTTTCAAAGGTAAATGCATTGATTTTCCTGCAATTCAATTATAAGCAATGTGCATATTTTCATATTATCTTAACATTATCTTTGAGAAATAATGTTTCAGGCGAAAACTTTTATTGACATTTTTCTTGTCCATTTGGTTTATTATTTCAGTCTAATGAGAAAAATAAATAAAGGACTTGATTGCGCTATTTTATTAACCTAGAAATTTATTTTCTTTCAAAATTTAATACTTCAAATGCATAAATTAATGGTAAGATAAATATTACTTGAGTCTATCTGGCCTCTGAGATCACCTACATTCAAGTGTAATTTAGCATACTGATTCTAATTCAGTCAGGCTGGGAAAATCCACCATGTAATTTTTTTACCCAAAGTTCAGGTCATGAGATTGGCTAACTCTAAAGCAAGACAGATGTGCATCTGTTATCAATGATGTTTGCCATGCTCGCTCATAATAAAGGATATATGCTGGCTTGGGAAGAATTCTCAATAGATTCATTGTGTCAGCGTCCAAAATAATGAAGTCTTCATTGTTACTGCGTTACCAAGAGTCTGACTCACTGGCCTCTGTGAGAAAGAATATGACACACTACCTATATCTCCAAACTCAGAAAGTTAATGTGTAACTTTACATATTGGAACAGAAGTCTTAAAAATTAAAGAATCTCTCTAGTGGTTTCACCTTGCATTGCTCTGGGACTGTTACTCATAGGCAACCATGACTCTAGAAATGAAGATTGAAAGATAAGTTATATGTTGAAAAATAAGTTATATGATTCTCTCAACCTTGACTTCTAAGGTTATGTAACATTCTTCAGAAGAGGAGGTCATAAAAAGTTGAAATTGCTTATCTGACTTCAAATCCAATTCTTTAGTTCTTTCTTAAAGACTTACAGATAGCTTACAAATGACATAATACAAATGATACACTTGAGGGTAAAAGAAGGTGACAAAAATCATCGAAGGCAGGAGCCTTCTGAGTTAGTAAACAAGCTGGGTGGAGTCTATGGACCCATGAAAATTATATGTATATTTTTGCATATGTGTATTTGGTTTTCTTTTAAACTTTCCTTTAAATTCCAGTTAGTTAACATATGGTGTACCATTAGTTGCAGGTACAGAATTTAGTGATTCAGCACTTCCGTAAATCACCTGGTGTTCATCACAACAAGTGCACTCCTTAATCCCCATCACCTGTTTCCCCCATCCCCCCACCTACCTCCACTCTGGCACCCATCAGTACATTCTCCATAGTTAAGAGTTGATTCTTATTTTACCTCTCTCTTTCTCTGTCTCTCTTTTTTCCCCCTTTGCTCATTGATTTTGTTTCTCAAATTCCACATATGAGTGAAATCATATGGTATTTGTCCTTCAATGACAGACTTACTTCATTTAGCATAATACATTCTAGCTCCATCCATGTTGTTGCAAATGGCAAAGTTTCATTCTTTTTTAAAATTTTTTAATGTATTATTTATTTCTGAGAGAGAGAGACAGTGTGAGCAGGGGAGGGTCAGAGAGAGAGGGAAACACAGAATCTGAAGCAGGCTCCATGCTCTGAGCTGTCAGCACAGAGCCTGACGCAGGGCTCGAATCCACAAACTGTGAGATCATGACCTGAGCTGAAGTCAAATGCTTAACCGACTGAGCCACCTAGGTGCCCCAAAGTTTCATTCTTTTTGATGGCTGAGTGGTATTCCATATATATACCATTTCTTTTTCATCCATTCATCAGTCAATGGACATTTGGTCTCTTTCCATAATTTGGCTATTGTAGATAGCACGACTATAAAATCAGAGTGCAGTATCCCTTTGAATTAGTGTTTTTGCATTCTTTGAGTAAATACCTGGTAATTCAATTGTTGAATCTGTGTGTAATTCTATTTTTAACTTATCGAGGGACCTCCATGCTGTGGAAGCCATAGTGGCTGCACAGTTTGCTTTCCCACCAAGAGTGTAAGAGGCTTCCCCTTTTTCTAAATCCTCACCAACACCTGTTGTTTCTTGTGTTGTAGATTTTAGCCCCCTGACAGGCTTGAGGTGATATATGTGTATTGTTTTATGGATATGGTCCCTTGTTTTCATTGATTCTGAAAGAGTGGTTTGCTGGCCCCAAATAAGAATGCTTCAATGTTTCTGATCACCTAAAAGGACCTGATTATTATTTTAAACTAATTTACCTTCAAGTCCTTGAAAGCAAGACATGTTTAGGGGAATAGTAGGTGTGTGTGTGTGTGTGTGTGTGTGTGTATTTGTACACATATATACATATACATAAAAAACATATATTTTTAAATCCAGAAAAAAGATTGCTTTGAATTTATCATATACTGCATGGAATAACAGATATGAGATGATGTAGGCTGATTTTCTTTAAGGACATAGCTAAGAACTTAAAATATAATTTCACAAGATATACACAAATACCATTCAAATAAGCAGTCTTGGTTTTGATCTTATATAAAAAACAAAATGTTGACTATAACCTAGTAGTAGTTCCTATGAGAAAAAGTAATTGCCAAAGGTGAATGTAATCTGAGGTAATTCATAAACTGTGATCATTGCATCTTACAGTTAAGACTATGCAGCTACAAAATACACTTGCACATAATTTCGAATATGAAGCCCAAATAATTTTAACTTTGGAACTGCTCATTAATTAGGGGACAATCTATCATTTAAGAAGTGTTACAGACTTCATGGTTCCAGCTATGGAATGGATAAAGTCCTTTCCTGCCTCTAGGGAGAGATAGGAAAACAATCAAAAACAAGGGAATATAAGAGTGTGATAAATTCTGACGAGAAAACCCAGTAGGACAATATAAAGGAGTGTGACTGGAAGTGATCAGGGGAGGCTGCTCAGAGGAGGCAGCATTTAAGCTTGAATGACAAGAAGCACATGAGGCGAGGATCTGGGGGAAGCTTCCAGGGAGAGGGAACAACTTGCACAAAACTCCTTAGGGAAATTCCATCCAGGCTGGCTCAGGCACTAGAAAGAGGCAAGGGGGGAGATCAGCAGGAGGTGAGATCAGGCAAGGAGGAGCCATAGAAAGGAAGCAAGGACAGAGGAAGAGAACAGTTGAGAAAATTCCAATGTGAGCTGTTATTCTCCAATGTGAGATCCAGACACAGGCTATGTCTGGCCTTCTTACTGTATACAGTTTGGCTTGTAAGCAAGACTCCTTTGGGACCAAAATTGAATCTCTCAATAGTCAAGTTCCACTTTTATATGGGAGTTCAGGGGTGCATTAGGCATAAAAGAATTTAACTACATTTTAATGCTAATTTACAACTTGATAATGTTGAGAGGAGAAAGAAAAAATTTGAGAGATAATCAGGACTGCTCTTGGTGTAGTACTGAACTAGTTATAATAATTACAAATGTAATTTGAAGTAAAAACATTTGTATATAAACTGAAAGTGCAGACAGGTTGAAATAAAAGAGACTCCTAGACACCTGGTGTAACATTGTAATTAAAAAGGTAGAGGGAGGGGGAAGTTCTACATGTACACAGAAAAAAAAGTAACCAAAAAATCAAAAAATAGGATCATAGAGCCCTCCACAATACAAATCCCAGAAGAAAGTGGATTAAAAAGGACAGTGGGCGAAATACTGTGACAAAATAACTTTATGCTTAGTTGTAATATTTCCGTTATTAAAGAAATAAACAAAAATCATCCTGAGGTAGCTAAGGCTCAAAAAAATCACATGTATCTACTCTTCTTAAAGTGATGCTCACCTCCTATATGTTCCAAGAAATGAATCAAATATGATGTTAAAAATACATAGGCATCATATAAACTGTCCACCATATAAGGTTTGAAATTGTGTTAAATCTAAAGAGTCATTGACTATTTTGCTGTATTTTACTGTACATGAAAAGAAACAAAAGTTTCACAAAATAGTACTTCCCCTTATTGTGAGCATGCAGTGCAATGCACTCTAATGTTTTCTAGTTTGTTCTGTTTCTTTCTTTGTTAACACTTGTCATAGAACACTAGGTTGATTTTACAACCCCAAAATCTGAAAAAAATCACAGGTGCACTCTTATTCCAAAATTTAATACAAATGACAAGCATAACTAAACGGCAGTATATAATATAAAATGGTAATTTAGTTGAGTTCTAAACTCCTACGTCTTTAAAAACCAGGAAGTCAGCAAGGGAAAAAATGCATTTTTTTTTCCTATACCAAAGTGGCATGACTCCTCTTGAGGGGAAGGGAGTAATAGAGTTATTGTGCATGTCTATGGTCTTTTTGTTCTATTTTGGGTTTGTATCTATCTCTTTTTCAGGCTTAGTATTATCTGAACCATTTCCTGTGTTTGAGATATCCTTAACCCCTAGTTATAACTGATAAGATCCTCCAGAAGACATTTCCCTCTTCAAAGCTTTGAGAACTACACTGGAGAGATAGCACACCAGCATATTTGAAGTCTACTCCCATGACTGTCCCCAGTCACCAGAGAAGTGGTGGAAGACATTAGGATAGTGGCATTTAATCACAAGAAGAAAGTCATGTATGGTGACAGTAATAAGCAGCAACCGCAGAGAGGCAATCAGAAAGTCTGACCTAAGTTTTGAAAGAAGGAAGTACAAGAGCAGCCTTCTGGAAGACACACTTGATTCGTGTGATCACCTTTTCTTGGAAATGGAGTTTGGAACCACCGCACTAAATCTCGCTCCTCATCCAAACTCATCGCCAGAGTCGGATTCATAAAATGGATCACTGGTCTCAACAATAATACTTCATGTGAATTATGGGAATATTATTTTCAGCACCCCCTAAAAGAATTGAGACACTTGGAGAGTAAGTGCGCACCAAAGAAAGAGACACATTCCCAACTGGTGCGTTACTGGACAATGACTCAAGACTAATACTGTATGCTGGGGTCCCTGGCATGCCTAGTGGAAAATGCAGGAGGTAGGCTATTCACAGAATATTTACCCTTATCTCATATTGGTATGGAGACCATTCAACCCACCTGCGGTTACTTCTCCAGCTCCTAAAAACACAGTTGAAATGTCTAATTTGAGCAATAGAAGAAAAACTCCACATCGGTTCCCTGCCTAGTGAGCTAATATCCATGTTTTTGAAGGACTCTGGAATTTCTCCTCTTTACCAAAATAGTCAATAAGAAACAATGGCAGTAAAAAGAATGACACTATTAAAGTCATGGTTAAAGCATTTACTCTTTCTTTGGTACTACCAAAGACACAAAGTCTTCAGTCCAGGTTATCATTTGTGTAACTAGGTGATGAGTGCAATTGTAGCTTCTGGTTCAAACATGGATACTTACTGGAACAAATTAACAGAACTCTTAGCACCTGTCCTACAGTTAAAAGTTAGGTAATTTTTGCTTAATGCAGCTAAAATAAATAAAGGGATTGTTTTGTTTAGCTTAGCAGAGATGCAAGTACCCCTTTGCCAACTTGCCTCAAAGTTACATTGACGCTCCAATTGGAGCCACAATTTAGTT